ATGAGACCACGTCACTTATTCATTCCCTCTGTGGCTGTCACATTGCCTCTTCTGCGCAATGGTAAGTAATAACACCTTTAGCATATTTCTCTAGGATTTTTGTAAAATTAGTTATATATAATGGCCAGGGCGGCCAGTGGCTCACACCTGAATCCAGCACTTTGGGAGAGCAAGGACAGGGGATCACGGAGGTCAGGAGATCGAACCAGCCTGGGCTAACATGGTGAAACCCGGTCTCTACTAAAAATACGAAAAAATGTACGGCCTGGCGGCAGGTGGGGCGGCGCGCTGTAGGTCCGCAGCTATGTGCGGGGGAGCTGAGGCAGGAGGAAATGGCGTGGTACCGGGAGGCAGAGGTTGCAGTGAGTCCAAGATCGGTGCCATTGCACTCCTCAGCCTGGACGTACACAGAAAGACTCCATACTCAAAAGAAGGTAGGCCGGGCTGAGTATAGGCTTATAAAACGGTATAGGTGGATGATGGTATTAAATTTAAAGTGCGTATATTTAGAGTTTAAGGATGAGTACTTAAAATGGTAGGAGGATTGTATATAAAAGGTGGATATAAGAAGGAAGTATGATATTTGGCGTACGATGAAGACTGTTGTAAACTGATACATTATTTTATATTATGAAGAGATTTATAGATATTTTTTTTTTGAGATGAGGAGTCTCCGCTCTTGGTTGCCAGGCTGGAGTGCAGTGGCACGATCTTGCTCAGCGGGCGAAAGCCTCCCCACGACGTGCGCGCGGCTCTAGGTGATTCTCCCGGCCTGCCTCGGAGGCCTCGACTGAGTAGCTGGGCCATTACAGGATGCAGCTCGAGCGCTGGGGGATGGGATGGCGCGGAAGGCAATTTTTGTATTTTTCTTTTTTTGTTTTTTTTTGGAGACGAAGTCCCCGTCGGCTCGATGGCGCCCCGCAGGGCTTGGAAACGTGCAGGTGGAGCCGGGATGCCTCCAGCTCCACTGTGGCAAGCTCGCGGCCTCCCGGCGGGGTTTACGCCATTCTCCGCCTGCTCAGGCTCGGGGGTGGCCCGAGTAGGCTGGCGGACTGACAGGCGGGCGGGCGCACCGGTTGGCGCGGCTAGTTTTTTTTTATGTATTTTTAGTAGAGAGGGGGTTTTCACTGGTGGGGTTAGCCAGGATGTCTCGATCTGCTGGACCCCTTACCGGAGAGTGCGCCGTCGGCCTTCCAAAGGTTGGCCGTGGCGGGAGGCTGTCACCCACTGGACAGTGACGGAGCTGAGCCTGCCCCTGCAGGTAGCTCATCCCAGAGCACTGGCGCTGGCTCCCTTACCGGGAAATGAAATGAGAAGTCAGTGCAGGACATGGTGGTGGTGACAGCTGTGTTCCTTCTGAGTTCATGTCTCCCTCCTGGGAACAAGCCCCGTCTTCTGGTCCGGTGGCCATCCAGCTGCAGAGTGTAAGTGAGATTGGCAACCAGGTGGCCTGGGCAGGGCGGAAAAGGCAAGAGTTGAATGGTGGGGGATCCCAGGGGCATAAGCCTGGATTTGGGGCAGCAGCTACCCTGGGGAGCAGGAGGAGAGCTCTGACCTTGGAACTGGGGGATGAGAGACTTGATCTGGAAACAGATTGTGATATTAACACCTTCTTTCATCTTGTTACTTGTTGAATAGGAGCACTCCACTTCATGCACTGGGATCTCGGCTGGAGAGAAGGACATCAGGGTGACCACATCCACCACGGGCCGGGAGCTGCAGGGCAGAAAGCAACCAATTCTCTCCCTCCAACCCAACTGCACGTCCCCCCTCAGATGTGGGGTTCCCACCAGCAGAGCCCAGATAACTCTCCTTCCCTAAAGCAGACCTCAACATGTCACTGCCTCCTCTTAAGGAAAATAATAATAACACTTTTTATTTATTTATTTTGAGACAGGGTCTCACTCTGTTGCCCAGGCTGGAGTGCAGTGGCATGATCACAGCTCACTACAGCCTTGGCCTCCCAGGCTCTAGTGATCCTCCCACCTCAGCCTCCCAAGGATCTGGGACCACAGGCACGTGCCACCACACCTGGCTAACTTTAAATAAATTTTTGTAGAGAAGGGATCTTCCTATGTTGTCCAGGCTCGTCTTGAACTCCTGAGCTTAAGCAATCCTCCCATCTTGGGCTCCCAAAGTGCTAGGATTATAGGTGTGAGCCACCATGCCTGGCCAATAATGACGATAACTAATTAGGGCGCCCAGTTCATTCTAGCAGCCTCTGACCCATTTTCCGTGAAGAAGAGTAAGCTCTTAGGAAGAGAAATCATGAGTTACTTTCTTGCTTATGTTTAAGCCTTCAATGATGCTTGCATGAATTTTATTATGCTTCATAATAAAGTTGCAGCTTTTGTTGTTGTTAGAGTCTCGCTTTGTTGCCCAGGCTGGAGTGCAGTGGTGCAGTCATAGCTCACTGCATCCTCACACTCCTGGCCTCCAGTGATCCTCCTGTCTCAGACTCCTGCATAGCTGGGATTACAGGAGTGAGCCCCAGCGCCTGGCTCCTTTTTTTTTGAGATCCGCCTCCTGAGCTCAAGCAATTCTCCCGCCTCAGCCTCCAGAATAGCTGGGATTACAGGCGCGCACCACCACGCCCAGCTAATTTTTGTATTTTTAGTAGAGATGGGGTTTTAACAGGTTGGCCAGGCTGGTCTTGAACTCCTGACCTCAAATGATCCGCCCACCTCAGCCTCCAAAAGTGTTGGGATTACAGGCATGAGTCATCGCACCCTGCCTATTTATTATTATTATTTTTTTGTGATAGAATCTCACTCTGTCGCTCAGGCTGGAGTGCAGTGGCACGATCACAGCTCACTGCAACCTCGACCTCCCAGGCTCAAGTCATCCTCCTGCCTCAGCATCCCAAGTAGCTGAGCCTACAGTCACGCACCACCGTACCTGGCTAAAAAAAAAAAAAGGCTGGGCACGGTGGCTCACTCTGTAATCCTAGCACTTTGGGAGGCCAAGACGGGCGGATCACTTGAGGTCAGGAGTTCAAAACCAGCCTGGCCAACATGGTGAAACCCCGTCTCTACTAAAAATACAAAAAAATTAGCAGGGCATGGTGATGCACGCCTGTAATCCCAGCTACTTGGGAGGCTGAGGCAGGAGAATCACTTGAATCCAGGAGGTGGAGTTTGCAGTGAGCCAAATTTGCACCACTGCACTCCAGCCTGGGTGATAAGAGCGAGACTCTGTCTCAAAAGAAAAAGAAAAAAAAAAAAAAAAAAAAGCTAAGTGACTGGGGTAACGGCATCCCAGAAGTAAACGGCAGAGCTTTAACTTGAATCCAGATCACCATGTTCTAAAGCTATGCTTTTCCCAATCCCATGATATTGCTTCTTTTTGAGTTTTAGTGTCAGGTAGGCCTAGGTGCACATCCCAGTTCCATCACTGATGGCAGCTGTTCAACCTGGAGTAAAACATGAAGACTCTATAAAAAGCAAACCTATTTAACAGTGCTGGGTGAAGACCCAACGAGCTCATGCCCACGAAACATCTGCACAGGGCCTGGCACATAGTAACTGCACAGAGGATGTGGCCAGGTGCGGTGCTCATGCCTGTAATCCCAGCTACTTGGGAGGTTGAGGCAGGAGGATCCCATGAACCCAAGAGTTTGAGACCAGCCTGGGCAAAGTAACAAGACTGTATCTTTTTTTCTTTTCTTTTCTTCTCTTTTTTATTTTGAGATGGAATCTCACTCTGTCGCCCAGGCTGGAGTGCAATGGCGCGATCTCGGCTCACTGCAACCTCTGCCTCCCGGGTTCAAGCAATTTTCCTGCCTCAGCCTCCTGAATAGCTGGGATTATAGGTGCCTGCCACCACGCCTGGCAAATTTTGTATTTTTAGTAAAGACAGGGTTTCACCATGTTGATCAGGCTGGTCTTGAACTCCTGACCCCAAGTAATCCACCTGCCCTGGCCTCCCAAAGTGCTGGGATTACAAGTGTGAGCCACTGTGCCTGGCCTGGAAGACCATATATTAAAAAAATAAAAATTAGGCCATGCATAGTGGCTCCTGCCTGTAACCCCAGCACTCTGGGAGGCTGAGGAGAAAGCATAGTTTGAGACCAGGAGTTTGAGACCAGCTAGGGCAACATAGCAAGTCCCCATTGCTATGAAAAAAAAAAAAAAATTAGCCAGCTCTGGTGGCGAGCATTTGTAGTCCCAGCTACCTGGGAGGCTGAGGTGGGAGGATCACTTAAGCCCAGCAGTTTGAGGCTGCAGTGAGTTGTGATCACGCCACTGCACTCCAGCCTGAGCAACAAAGAGAGACCCTATCTCTAAAAAAACCCAACATAAATAAATAAATGAAATATAAACAAAACATAGGATAAGAGCTGGGGTCATCAGGTATGACCCGGGAGCCCCATCTCACCTCAGCACGATCATCTGGCTCTCAGCCCCCACAGCCACGTCTGCCAAGCCGTCCCCTTCAAGGTCCTTCACCCCATGGATGGAGCGTCCAAACCACCGAACTCCTGAGAGCACCTGGGTCCCTTCTATCCGCTGAGAGCAAGAAAGGAATTATCACTAAGTTGAGGAGAGGTAGGTTGGAGGGAGGGAAGGGTCGGGCTGGGGAGTGGGGTCTGGGCTTGGGGGCTTAGGGCACCCGAGAATGGAGTGTGATTGGCAGGCAGGATACCTCACCTGACTTGACTGGGGGCTAAGCCCCCCATGCCTCCCATTGAAGATGTACACAGCTCCCTGCTCCTCCAGAGGGGCCCCCACAGCCACGTCCACCAGCCCATCGCCGTTGATGTCTGTCAGAGCGGTGATGGCTTCTCCAAAACGCCCGAGTGGGTAGCCAGGGTCCCCCTGCAGCTCTGAGACCTCTTCAAACCCCAACTAGGAAGTAGCAAGAGACAGGTCACACCCAAGTCACTCAGCAAGCTGTCACAGAGCAACTGAGTGAAGAACGCAAAAAATGGTAAGACGGGGTCCCTCCAAGAATTGGAATGGAGCTGTCAGACTAACCAGGGTTCAAGCACCAGCCCAGCCTCTTACTGTCCTCTTACTGTGACCTTGTGGTTTCAGACATCCCCCTGCTGAGCCTTGGGGTTTCCCTTTATATATATACATTTTTTGGATAATTTTTTTTGAGATGGAGTCTTGCTCTGTTGCATTGGCTGGAGTACAGTGGCGTAATCACAGCTCACTACAGCCTCGAACTCCTGAGCTCAAGCAATCCTCCCACCTTAGCCTCCCAAATAGCTGGGACTACAGGCATGTACCACCACATCTGGCTAACTTTAAAATTTTAATTTATTTATTTTTATTTTTGTAGAAACAGGATATTGTCATGTTGCCCAGGCTGGTCTTGAACTCCTGGCTTCAAGCAATCGTCTTGCCTCAGCCTCTCAAAGTGCTGGGATTACACGCATGAGCCACTGCACCCCAGGGATTTCCATTTATAAAATAAAGCTTGTAGTATCTCAGCAGGTGGTTATGAGGAAAGTGAGGTCGTGTCTATAAAAAGTTTGACGCCGCCTGCCAGGTGCAGCTGTTCACGCCTATAATCCCAGCAGTTTGGAAGGCCAGGTGGGTGGATCACCTGAGGTCAGGATTAGAGACCAGCCTGGCCAACACGTCAAAATGCTGTCTCTACTAAAAATACAAAAATTAGCTGGGTGTGGTGGCAGGCACCTGTAATCCCAGCACTTTGGGAGGCTGAGGCGGGTGGATCACCTGAAGTCAGGAGTTCAAGACTAGCCTGACCAACATGGCAAAACCCCGTCTCTACTAAAAATACAAAAATTAGCTGGGCATGGAGACACACACCTGTAATCCCAGCTACTCGGGAGGCTGAGGCAGGAGAATCCCTTGAACCCAGGAGGCAGAGATTGTGGTGAGCACTGATTGCACCACTGCACTCCAGCCTGGGCCACAAGAGCGAGACTCTGTCTCAAAAGGAAAAAGAAATATTGGCACTGGACCCTGCACAGTCTTTCCCCAGTGAGGATTCGCTATTGCCTCTCTGTCGTTCTAAAAGTTTGATCACCACATGACCAGACAGAGAAAGCCTTCAGAATAACTGGGAGCTGCGAATCTCTGCTGCTCCGCCTCCTCCCTCTCAGCCCCAGGTCCTGGCCCCACCTGTTTTCTCTGGTAGATAAACACCCGGCCTCCTCTCTGCTCCCCGTAGAACAGTGGGGCGCCAATCAGCAGCAGCTCTGTCTCCCCATCTTGGTCCACGTCGACGCCGCACAGCTCGCCACCGAAATAAGAGCCAATCTGCGGGGAGAGGCAGGTGTTTGGGGAGACGCCTGTGGGAACAGCAGAGGCTGGCAGGGAGATACCTGTACCGAGTTCATCTTATGCCACTCCCTCAAATGCAGGTTCCAATCCTGGATCCACCCCTAGTCTACATGCATTAAGACAAGGTGGGCTCTTTGAGGTTATTTCTTAAACTAGAGAGGGAGGTGACAGGGCTTACCTCCGTGTGTTATGAGGGACAAATGTGATGGTGTTTAGCACAGGGTAAACACGTAAGTGGATGAGCGTTCAAAGGACAGAAGGGAGTGTGACATGTGTCCCTCCAGTCCCTGGTCTGCAGATGCCCTTGGACTGTGCGCACCTGGGTCCCATGGATTGTCTGGATCTGGCTCCAGCGTCCTCCGCCCTGTGGCTCTTGGAACAGCAGCACTCGGCCCACGTGCTGGTATCGAGGGGCTCCTGAGGCCAACAACGAAGTCTTTTCCCCGGAGGGCAGCCAGGTCACGGTGTAACCTGAGGAAAGTGTGCGGGAAGTGGAGTTAGGAACAGAGGATACTGGAAGAACCCCCAGCAGGAGAGGGGCAGGGGCCCCAGGGAATTGGGTTAGTAGCAGAGATGCATCAAAACAGCTGAAGACCTTCTCCAGAGAAAAGCAGCCATGTGCTCCCAGCTGACCAAATCCTGCCATCTTGGGGATGGCATTTCTTCAACTGTGGGTGACGTGCACACCCAGGGAAAAGCAGCTATGCACCACAAGTGGAGTGTGGAGCCTCTTCTGAGCCTCAGTTTACCTGAGGATTAGTAAGGAAAACTCCATTCTTTCTTCTTTTTTAGAGACAGAGTCTCGCTTTCTTGCCCAGGCTGGAATGCAATGGCGTGTTCTCAGCTCATTGCAACCTCCGCCTCCCGGGTTCAAGCAATTTTCTGCCTCAACCTCCCAAGTAGCTGGGATTACAGGTGCCCAGCCACCACACCCAGATACTTTTTTGTATTTTTAGTAGAAACAGGGTTTTGACATGTTGGCCAGGATGGTCTCGAACTCCTGGCCTCAGGTGATCCACCTACCTCAGCCTCCCAAAGTGCTGGGGTTACGGGTGTAAGCCACCAGGCCTGGCCTCTTTTTTCTTAAATAATAAAATAAAATAAAATAAAACGGGAGGCTGGGTGCAGTTGCTCACACCTGTAATCCCAGCACTTTGGGAGGCTGAGGCGGGCGGATCACGACAGGAGATTGAGAGAGCATCCTGGCTAACACGGTAAAACCACATCTCTACTAAAAATATGAAAAATTAGCTGGGCATGGTGGCAGGCGCCTGTAGTCTCAGCTACTTGGGAAGCTAAGGCAGGAGAATGACGTGAACCTGGGAGGCAGAGCTTGCAGTGAGCCAAGATCGCGCCACTGCACTCCAGCCTGGGCGACATAGTGAGACTCTGTCTCAAAATAAATAAAATAAAATAAAATAAAATGGGATATATTAGAAGAACGCAAAGTTGGCATGGATATTAAAAATAAAGCATGTCGTCCAGGTGCAGTGGCTCCCGCCTGTAATCCTAACATTTTGGGAAGCCGAGGTAGGAGGATCACTTGAGGCCAGAAGTTTGAGACCAGTCTGAGCAACATAGTGAGACCCCATCTCTACAAAAAATTACAAAAACTAGCCAGGTGTGGTGGTGCACACCTGTGGTCCCAGGTACTAGAGAGGCTGAGAGGCAAAAGGATTACTTGAACCCAGGAGTTCAAGGCTGCAGTGAACTACGATGGTGCCATTACACTCTAGCCTGGGTGACAGAGTGAGACCCTGTCTCTAACAAAATAAAATAAAGCAGGAAATTTGAAAAATTTTCATGCTTACAGATATCATGCTGGCCAGGCGTGGTGGCACGCACCTGTAATCCCAGCACTTTGGGAGGCTGAGGTGGGTGGATCACCTGAGGTCAGGAGTTCGAGACCAGCCTGGTCAACAAAAATTAGCTGGGCATGGTGGTGCACCTGTAATTCAGCTACTGTGGGAGGCTCATGCAGGAGAACACTTGAACCCAGGAGGCAGAAGCTTTAGTGAGCTGAGATGCACTGCTGCACTACAGCCTTGGCACGGAGAGAGACGGCCATCTCAAAAAAAAAAAAAAAAAATTAGCCAGGCGTGATGGTGTGTGCCTGTAGTCCCAGCTATCCAGGAGCTAAGCCGGGAGGATTGCTTGAGCTTGGGAGGTTGAGGCTGCAGTAGGCTGTGATTGCGCCACTGCACTCCAACCTGGGCAACAGGCAAGACCTTGTCTCAAAAACAAAAAACAAACAATCTGGGACTCCAGGTATTACATGAGAAAGTCAACTCAGCATTCAGTCACTCCCTGGGTCTGCCTGACCCTCACATGCATGCCTTCTACCTTAACCCAGAGGTAAATACCTCACTTTCTTCCCTGTCCTGCCATGAATTTTTTTCACTGCATTACGGCTGTTGGGTCTCACC